GACCGTGGAGTGGATGGTTTCCCCCTTATATTTATTATTTTCGAGAAAAATGAAAAACAAATATGAACATTTGGAGATTAACCAACTGCGAACAATTTTACTAATAGCACTCTCTGCTATGTTGTCGTAGGGTGCAGACAATTACCCTGAATTGATTTATTTCTCCCCGGCTCGAATTTAGAAGACACGCACATTCACAAGATGTATAAAATCAGGGTCAGTTTGTCAAGTTTGCATGCTGTTTTCCAAAGTAAAGCAGCGTGCCATAGCAGAGATTCAACCAAGCATTATTATAACGATATACAAATTCCTCATCTGCCGTGAATAAAATCCTCATTTCAACAGCGACCATCTGTGACCTTGCGCTACTTGTCTCATGTTCATCCTTAATGTGAGGGTGACATGTCTTGCATGGAAATATGATGATTGTTGATGCTCATCTGTGCGCTAAGCACTAACACAAGACAGGTTTTACAGTGGAACATTGCGGCTTCACTGATAATTGCCTGCAGGCCTTGTTCGCCTTTGCGGAGGAAATAGCTGGGAAGTCAACCCTCTGTTTAGTTAACGATTCTTGTCAGCGAAATGGCAACAGAGCACTCTGATAAGCAGGCAACAAAGACAGTCCAGCGAGGCCGGCATCACAGTGCAACGATTCATTAAACGGGGATCATAGCAGCCTTGTTTCCAAATGACGTCTTCTAAAATGAGCCGTGAATGATGATGTCTATTTTGTCTTTTTTTTTTTTTTCCGCCAGCCACATTCTCTCCTCATGTTTTCTAGAATATGCAAATAAACACGGATACATTGCATGCTATTCTCTGCGGAGCTGGGACTCACAAAACATGATTTAAGAATGATATTTATCTCCCGTTCAACTAACTTTGGCCCTTTCCCCCCCTTTTGTTGCTTGTTCAAACACAAGATATTTGGCTAGCGTTGATCAACCTGTCCTCAGGAGCCTTAAATACTCAACCATGATGGACTAGGGGGCATTCTGAAGCCCCCTGAAGCTGCGTATGTAAATGTGTCTTTTTGGTTTGACAGAGAAGGAATCGGTAGGTCCTGATGAAAACCCTTTCATCCTCATTTCTCGCCCCGTCTGTCGTTCTCTCAGTCTTTTCACATGTCCATGGTCCTCAGAGAGACACTGTTTGTTGACCGCCATTGTGGATAGTTTGTATGTTCAGGCCTGGTGATTGGTTGGCGGTGGGGGATAACCAATGGTTGATGTGCATGTGGCGGGGTCACCACGCAGTCAGGGAGATGCGGGATGGAGGGATCACAGAGTGGCCTTTTTCTGCTTGTGAGAATTACATTGTCAATATGTGTGTTTGCATGCGCACTACATTGCCAGAGGAGTGGACTCATTACCAGAACCCCTCAACACTGCGGCTTTAAAATCTCAAATAAATTGCAAGACACGTTTCAAGAAAAACATTCCACTCTTAAGGTAGATGTCACCGTTACAGTTTTATCATTCCTATTTTGAAAAAAATAAAATTAATTCATAGTTTTAGACACAGGTTCATATTTGAAAAGACACTGTATGCCAATGAACTAAGCAAAATTGCGTGCTTTCAAAATTTGAATAATTTCAATCATCCAGTATATGTAATGTCATATATTTCTTAAATTCACATTATGCACAGCAGCAAACTGTTTCCTTGTCAAAGAATCTTTTCCATGGGGCATTTTCAAACACAAATATACTTTGCATTTAAAAAACTAGCATTTCTTGTTTCAAAAGGGAACAACAACAACAACAACAACAATATAATAATAATAATAATAATTATCATAGTAATAATAATATTAATACAGGCATTAACAGCCTTTATGCAACTTCACTTGAGTAGAGATATTACAGTAGTTTCACGGCTATGTGTTCATGAGCTTAAAGAAGCTGACAAGAAATTACAAATATTCTTTTAACTACTAGACTTTCTGGAAGTGTTCAAACTAAAATGAAGAAACCACAAGAGGAAACAAATTTGACTTCACCAAATTCTACAAAATATCACACTGGCCATTCCTACACCGAGCAAAATTTTCTTTCCAGGCCCCAGAAAATAAATTTTCAGTACACAGCAGCTGTAACTGCTCTATAGTACTTCTACTAAATTGATATTGCTCCAAAATATTCTACCAGGCAGGCAGCAGATGATTGAACCATCATTGCTGTGACCACATGGAAGACGTACACTGACTCTGCAACAAGACCCACAAGCGAAAGAACGTGTGTTCATGATCACTCTGTTCTATCTGTCAGCATCAGTTCCATGTCCATGCGCATAAACTGCTGATGATGGTACCATTATATCAGTTCCTGATAAGTCAAATGAAAAGCGGATTCTTTTCATGGCATTTGACTAAACTTACCACATTAAATCACCCCAGGACGCATGTCAACACCGAATATGGACTCCATCTGACCTTTGCACGAAGCCAAGTCTGCACAATGACCTGCAAGGTCACTTGTACATACAGTATAATATATCGTTTTATGTCCCCACAACATGAGCAATGCCAGGTAAACACACACTCACATACACAGTCTAGTGCAGTTCTGCAGCCAACATGTTTCCTATTAACTGGCATTCAGTCGGTTGGGTATTAAGTTGTTCAAAGATGTACAGTCAAGAGCCTCAAATCATGCAGCATTACACACAACTTCCAAGAGCAAATGGGCCGGGCAATTTGCTGTCCACAATGGTTATGTTTTCTGGCTCAGGTGATTCAACCTGAAGGTTCCTGTGCGCTCACTCAAGCACTTTTGTCTTTTTCATGTGAATGATGCTTTTTTTGTTCAGAGAAAACATGTCATGATTTTAGCCCACTGTCATCTTCTCTGCAGGTGCAAAAGTTCAAGTGGAACAGCGGCAAGTTTAACAATATAATCCTGATCACTTGTTTTTGTGAATTCTGATTTTGAAGTAAATTGCTTGCCCAATATTTGAAAGAAAGAGACAGATATTGCTGAATATTTTGTTAATTATAGTTTAATATTGCTTGTCCTTATTTCAAATTGCCTTAATCTTATGCAGTGGTATAAAAAGATTAGTTGCGGGTTTAAACGACACGCAAAGAAATATATCAATTCTAAATTAGTAAAATACACCTGAATTTTAAAAATATTTGTTTTTCTTATGTGAAACATAACAAACCCAGACTGGCTAAAAACCAAACAAAAAACAAAGCCAAAAAGAAAAAAAAAACCTAAAATATACGTTCCCTTTTAAATGTGGTTGTTTTAATGATTAACATTCTCAATTAGACTAAGGGCGCATGTGAAAACCAAATCTTTGACTCACAGTTGATTTGTCATGTTGTATCTAGCTTTAATAAGAACATTTTAAGCCGCTGACATTGTTAAAAAAATTCCTAAAATAAAACGATCAAATTTGTCCCCTGCATGGAGCATGTCTGGCTTGGCGGCTAAAAGCCATATTAATAATTACATCCTGTACATGTGTCCACCACCTCCATCATAGCTGGGCCTCAGCTGAGTAAGCACAGTATAGAAAATCCAATAATCATTTCTGAATGGGCCCAGAAGGCCCCAAACATGCAACCTTGACCTTGGAAAGCACTTGGTCCACTTCCAAAAAGTGTCTCGTGTTGCTCATATGACTGGCCACAGGTCAGAGGAGAGAGCAGCACCATGAAATGAATCCGCTCAGCATGGCTCCACTTGATTAGCGCCGACACATTGCAGCTCCGTGGGCTCCCTGGTGCTCCTCGGGAGTAATGAACCAGCACAAATGAACACATTTAAGTGTTCAAATCTCAGACAAGTATGCTAATGGGGATAATGGCGCCTTTGGAACTGAACTGTTCATTAGTGTGTTGTGTGTCGTTTGGCGAGAAAGCCAGTCGATCCTCTTGGTATTGTGACTTGTGACAGGGATTTTAGTCGAGTTGTATAATCTTGCCGAAGATGGCATGACACCACATCGACAGGACTTGTATTCAGTTGTAACGTAGCGATCTAAAATGGAGCCTATCCCAGCTGACGTTTGGTGAGAGGCTGGTGACTCCCTGGTCTCATTTGTTGATCAGATTCTGTATTCAGTAGATTAAGCAGGCATTCCCAAACCTTATCAGCAAAAAACGGAAAATAAAAAAAAATCCACATTTGATTCATGGGTTAGAATATTATGAACGTATGTATACACTCATAATAAGCTAAAAGAACACAATCCCATCACAACAAACATGGCTAAAAGATGTTAAGTTAACTTGTGTCTGCAAGATGGTCAGTAAAATATTTCACAGCATTTTATTTGAACAGTCAGTCCCCCAATAAAAACCGACTTGGGACCAGTGATGTGCGTGAGGTTTGCAGCATGCGAGGCGCTGACTCATAGCAACATTTTGCCAAGGAATAACACTAAATTTATAACAGAGAGAGAAGCAAGAGTTGTAGAAGAGTAAAAGTGCAGTGTGTTTTTTTTTTGTTTTTTTTTTTTTTTTTGCATTCTCGTACACATCTGAAACTATCATTGTTTGTGTCACATGTGGAAAATGTGGACCGTGGTAATCCTGCTAGTGATTGGGGACTTACTGAGTATGGAAATGATGACAAGAAAGATTTACCTGATTTAATTTCATGTGACTTTATTGAAAAAGGGGGCTTGAATATGAGAGCTAAAATACTGTCTCTTGGTTCACATACAAAACCACCCCCCAAAACGCTAATATATGACATCTTAAAATATGTCCAAAAGCAGATTACAAAGAGTAGTTATTTCACATTTTCTTGGTGTCCAAATGTAGAAACATAATTTTTGCATACCAACAAGTAAATGCGAAACTCTGTTAAAAAATATACAGTAAGAAATACACAAAGTGTCGTTGCAACCATGCATTGTGATAGTGATACAGTGCAATCCTTAAGAAAATGCATTGATGTTTTTTTTAAAAAATACAGTATATTGGTCATTATTCTTTGATGTATTTGCGAGACCAATGCACAGCTATACTCTGATTTTTTTTTTTAATCTAAGAGTATTTTTGTCTTTAAAATACACACCTAGATGAACATAAGGAGCTGCTCACATCACCTCTAATTTTGTTATTGAGTTGTGGAATTGCCCTTCTCCATTGATCTAACGGATTGATTAAGCAGTGTGGTGAAGAATTAGTACAACCACAAAATATGGACCATTCATATCTATAACACTCATAAGAATGCTAGTTGCACTGCTGGCTGCCACCTAATTGGATTATAGCCTGTTAGAAAGCGGCCTGCCAATTGTCAAAGACAACAAATGAAGTTAACAAAGACCACAACCACGACTTCCATATTATGCGAATCGTTTGGCAGGGAAGAGAGTCGACGGGGGGTGCTGGGAGTGTCCTAATAGAAAGCACATGTTGATTGCTTGGAACTACAGGCCGCAGGTTTTGTTCTGCTTTGCCTCACAGGCTGTGCTGACGCTTCATATAAATAATAAAGGTTTTTAAAAAGCCAATCAAGTGTTTGGTGTGGCCGGCCTGAAATATGCCTCCGATCATCGCGCAATAATATTGACTCTAATTCTCAATTTGTCGGATGGATTCAAACAAGATGTTGCCGTAGAACCCTTACGTGAGACACAACCGCTGTTGAAGGAATGAAAGCAGAGAGAACAAAAACAAGTGGATGGACAGAATTTAATTTACTTGGCTGGCTTTTAACATTAACGTATTAAAAAAGAGGATCTTCTTCATCTGGTGCAAAAAAAAAAAAAAAAGGTTTCAAACTGTTTTGCAATAAATGATTAAAAAATTGTATTCATAAACAAATGCATGAAGTCGGAATATGTTTTACGCTTGTGACATTTCTAGCCTTCATTTAATATTTACTGTACGGTATCTTGCATTGAAAAGGCATTCATTGAGCATATATGCAATATAAAAATAAAAACGAACATTAACAAGACGTATTTGATAATAAAGTGGCTCACAAATATTTATTTCCACGTATAGAGTAAAATATCATCAAACGTTCTCTTTTCCATCATGACCATTCCCTTTTTTGACAATTCAGCTGTTCGATATACTTTCCCCACAAACGCATCCGAGAATCCTGCCGTCAACCTGCTCGAATGTTTCCAGTCAGTCATGTAAAAAAAAAAAAAGCAAAGACTTATTTGAATTCTGTTCTTATTGCTGAGGTTTTATCTTGTTGCCTGTTGCGCTGAATAAATATTTGGTCTCTTCTATATTCTGATATGTTCAATCAGTAAAAGCTGCATTAACACACAATACAAACACCCAAACTGCATTTGTTCCATTTTCTTCATCACCTTTCTCTACACTCGACACGTCATCTTCACACCAGACCATTAAGAAATGCTCCCAAAAATAACCTCGGCCGATTATGGTTTTGCACGAACCAAACAGTACAAACGATTCTGACTTTTAAAATGAATATGTAGCGCCACATGATCAACGCTCGTCGATGAGTGGCACGTTGGTCGTCCTGAAAATAACATTGTTTCAAAATAGTGCCACTTTCACATACATAAGGCATAAAAACAGAATATATCTCATCACATTCTTGATCATAGCATAAATGAAATATTTCAAAAGGCGTTCAGAGATTAGTGTTCGTGTGACCTGCCTCGAAAGATCATAATTCCTTTGAGTGATTTGAATGTTTGAAGGACACTTGTCATAAAGTGGCAGGCACATTCATTCCCCATACATCTGTTCAAAAAAATTTTTTTTTTTTGTACACACACTCTTTCACACACATTGTCACTCAAGCACAAGTTACAACTCTTGCATCCATTGTCCCAAGGCAGGCTTTAATCGCACTTGGTGCTACCGTGGAGGGATTGGATGGTGAGGGGTGTCACTCAGTGAGTATCCGGAGAGGCCTGTGGCGGGTGGCACAAATTGGCGATGAAGTGCTTCTTGCGCAAGCAGTCCAGAGAGGTGGACGGTTACATAACAGCGGTGTTTACATACATCCATAGCAGTGGTGAGGTGATACACAGGTTGGACCTGAAGGTTTCTTTGACTGAATCGAAAACATCCCGCGGACTTAGTTTTTCTTGTTGTTGCGTCTTCTCGATTTCTTCACCCTGTTTGCACATTTAGAAACATGTTTACTGGCAAATAAGAACATCCCTTCTTCAATAAATAATAGAAATCTGTTCCCGCGCCGCGGCACAATCTTCTCATCTGACACACTGGGAAATGTTTTGTTTGATAGCCAGTCGCAACATGTGATGCCAAACATTGAGTCTCATGTAGAGACAGTAAAAGTCGGCGGCAGTAATTCCCTCAACGATTCTGTGCTGCAATAACTCTTCCTGTTAAATTGGCCCCAGATTTTCTTCTTTCAGTTCAAAACAATTGAGAAGAACCGCTGCCCTGACTGGTTTCGAGGGCAAGGAACCAGATTTGGATAAATTGACATCGAGACGGTGTCAAGTGAGTTCAGGGATGTGTTTCTCAACACATTATACATGTTTGAAGATAAGTGATGAAAACGGGCAAAGATGAAGAACTATCTAATGCTGAATTTTTGAGATATTGCTGTTTTAGAGGAAGTCAAGTCAAAAATCTTCACAAGAATATGTTCTGTGCCTCCCTCAATAATATAAAAACAGCATTCTCTTTAATATTGCATTTGTGGAATATAAATGAAGCCCATATTTTTTTTTCCCCCATCTCAGGGAGCAGCTGATTTGCTACTCGCTGTCAACTGAAAATGACATCACTGTTGATCAGAGCTCAGGAAAGAACCGATTACGGTTCAAGTTCAGAAAAAAAAAAGGTGAGAAAAAAAACAGTGCTTGGTGACACACTTTGGCTCAGTGCCTAAGTGTATTTGTTTCATATTCTATGCCTAATGTTGACATGACCACAGCGGAACATCTTTTGAAACACTGGCCTATCCAAGTAATTCATGCATGAACAGTAATGAACATCGTATACATTCACATGAATGACTTTGTGTGTCTTCCCATCGAGAGCGCGCGTGCAGTGTTTCAAGACTCAGACAGGCAGCCTGGCAATAATCACCATCAGTCACTTTGGGAGAATTTTGTTTAAGGGGAATGTGTACATTTTAACAACGTGGCTTGTGAAAATGATCTGAATGATGTTCTGCCAATCTTGTTACACCTTTAGTCGCCCACCCACCCCCTCAGTTTTGCCTCCCCCTGCCACAACAACTCTGCTGTTAATGTGAAATTACTGGTGATAATTATGCGGACAATACATTTAAAAGTCCGCTGGACATAGTTTTGTGCTGAAGTGTATTAAGTGTGGCGTGTGAGCTGATGATGATGCTTCGACTCAAGGTTATGAGAAAGGAGGAAGCCGGCGCGCCACAGGCAGATTTATCACCCATCTTAACTCCATGCGCATCATTTCACACATGATAATTCAGGCTGCTTACATCAACCAAGTCTTTGCTTTCACTGAGTAACTATCAGCAAGACAGTGAACCAGCAATTTGTTACGGTAGGTTTATTTATACTGCATAGGCTCTAAATTGTAATTATTCACGTCTGTCTGTCAGTGATGCTGTAGCCCACTCGGAGAGAAAGAGAGAGTTGACATTTTTCTTACTTGTTTATGGCGTTCTTTAAGTACTGCTGCAGCCACTTGGTTTCCGGGTTGATGCAAACTTCCCTGTTGCTTTTCAGCTTGGCGCTGTGGGATGAAGAAAAGGAGGATTTTGGTTATTTGACTGTTGCTTTGTTTTATTCAGACAGGGATGAGGTACAGTTTTGACTGCAGTTTATAGGATAGTTTGCAGTTGTTGTTTGATCTATAATAAAATACAGGATTTTTTTTTCTTCTCATTTTGCTGTTGAAGTCAGAATGCAAGTCAATGTCAAATCGTAGATCCCACCTGTCTATTGCTTGTGTTATTCTTCATAAACCAGGTCGAGCAGCCTGCTACTGTAACTGCTAATGACCACATGGGCAGCCCAAATAATGCTTCTAATTATTTTCAAACATCTCCCCCCCGCTCTTATTGTTCTTTCCTTTTGACTCACAATGGAACATTACTCCAGGGTGGAAGCGCTACAATATGCTGGATTGCTATCTTACTGTGTCATTCATCATGTAGTACGCATATTACGTATGTTTCTTTCGTAGTAGCCTGCTAATCAACAAATGGACTAGAAAGTGTAGATGATGCTTTCTTTAGAACTATTCGCTGGCCCCAGAATGAAAAAAAAATAGTACAGTATGTATGAATAACCACAAAAACACATTATTATGAGAATTCATTTCATTTTTATGTTTAGAGTCATCCCCTCCACCTGCCCCATATTTAAAAAACTGTAAATCTCTGCCATTTTAGACAAACCTCCATAAACCAGGATACACGTTTGTCCGCTTACTAAAATAGATATACAAATAAGCATAAATATTGTGGGCTCCATAAGCAGGCCTGTATGTGCTCGACTGAGCGACTTTCTATTCTAGTGTCTCCTTTCTTGACGTGATGTAAGCTCATGGAAGAATGAATATGCTAGATTCAATTCCGTTCCTCAAAAAGGCCTCCTTTAGTTAATTTCTTCTCCTTCTTCAAGTTTACGCGTGAGGCAATATGTTTTTGATGTCCTTTATAAATCAGGATTATTGTTGACATAAATTCAACACTGCATTGTCTATGGAGCATCCTTTGCCTATAAAGTTCACGTGAAACCAAAAGAGAAACATTTTAAAAGCTTTTTTGGCAAGATCAACTCAAAGAATGAGAATGCTGAAATCCAGTAATGTGAAGACAAATGTATGTAAATGCACCATACGGACAGGTTGTCTTTGTGGAGAGTTAAAATTGCATATCGCACGTGCTCTTTTTCACTTGAATGCACATTCATGATTCCCAATGGGAGAATAAATATATTTTGCGGCGATAAAAGGTAAAAGCAATGACCTACTGCTGTGTAAACACTCAAAGGATTATCTGTTGGTTCTGGACTTTTTTTAGTTTATCTGCATCTTATAAATCCCAATAATATCTTTTAGTGCGTATGGAATAATAGCAGCACTTCATCTTTGAAGAACTCACGTCGTGTAAAAACTGCTTCCAGCGCGCAGTGACCTCAATGTTTCTAAAGGGAAAAACCCAAGACAAGGATTCTTCATTTGATGACAATTAATGGGTTTTATCCGGGCGGGAAAAAAATGAGACAACTCATTACTGAGCCACATTTAATAAAAGTGGAAGTCAGAAACACCTGAGCGAAGACCTAAAGATCTCAGCATGTCCTCCAACACATGTAAGCTGAAAAATGTGATGCTTATTGAGCATGACGGGTTGTCAACCCCTGGCCAGCTGTGAGAAATTAACACTCTTCTGTTTCCACTGGAGAGCAGCTGCAGTAAGGAGAGCGAGAGACAGAACTATTTTCATCTAGCTCTATCTTCATGACTGGCACAAACCTGGCGCGGTTCCTGGCATGAATCTACGCCGAGGCGTGTTAGACTGGGCGTTGGTAATTTCGTAGAAACGTGCAAGCCAGCGTAGTTAAAAAAGGGTGGTGTGTGCCGCTGTGGGGGTGAACAAAGCTGACTTCATTCACTGTCAATCAAATTTGCTCCTCTTTCATTCGCTTAAAATGTGGCTCACTCACATCTCACAAGGAGACATTTCTGTGCATTAAAAGGATGCAGCAATCCGTGCGTGACCGAAGCATTTATCACTTCGCTTAGCATTTGATTGGTTTCAAACTTAGTTTTTAAATTGTTGTACATTATATTACTATTTGAAGAAATTTGCTTGCCGCTTCTCATCAATTGTACTCAGATCTGCGGGTGTGATTTAAAAATTGTAGTTAAAAAAAAAAGTCATCACCCCCTGCCTGTTTGTGTGATATTGCACAGAGTCAAAAACATCTGTGCGCATTTGTTTGATGTAAACTTTAGTTTGGCGAGTCCTTTTGATCTGACCGGTGGTTCAATTTAACGGTGATTGAACCAAATGATTAGCGGATACAAATTAGGGTTATTTTGTAAAGTGTGGTCTGAGAATACTCAACCGCAAGCGTTTTAAGCTTCAAAAAAAGACAAAGGGACCTTTTCTCCCAATTAAAAGATCCAAAAGACCCATTTAAGATCTCTATCATCATGAAGATACATTTTTAAATTGCACGTGTGTGTGCGTGCGTGCGTGCATGCGTGCGTGTGTGCGCGCGTGTGTGTGTGTGTGTGTGTGTGTGTGTGTGTGTGTGTGTGCGTGCGTGCGTGCGTGCGTGCGTGCGTGCGTGTGCTCAGGTGTGATGGAAAAAATTCTAAATAGAAGATTTGGAGCAACGCAAGTCGGGGTGGGTAGCCGGCACGGCTCTTAACATGTGTGTGTCACACTTCTGTGGCAAAAGGTCACGTGTGAGAGTTAGCATGAGGGGGGTCTTTCTCCTCCTTCCATATCTCCATCACACTGCTCCCCAAATGAAATGTCCCGTCTCGCTTTAACCGGCCACCTTCTGTGTTCCTCACCTCACATGAGCAAATGGCATCTCCACTTTAAAGGGATGAGGAGCATCCAATCCACCATCAAACCAACATGTCGGCAGCTCTGTAACTGGGTCTGTGTTTACTTTCTCTCCCTTCTGCCCCCCCTCTTCTTTTATGAGGGGTGGCAGGTCCATCCGCTAGGGACCTCCATCCTGTTTTTGATGTGTCCTCCTTCGTCCTGTTTATCTGTCTGCTTGTCTGGCCCGGCAACTCGCAGTTTCACCTCGAATTGACTTGGCTAGAATTTGAGGGCTGGAGTTCCACAAGCAGCAGGTAGTAATTACTTCACAGCAAGTTAATACCAACAGCATGCTGGGATGAGTGGGCAAGGAGTTGTGGGGGTCATACTGGGGAGCACGGCGGGATACTGCCAGGCGGCGGGACTTGAGCATGCTTTCATGGGCCTCAATGGAGATATCATAGAAATGAGCTTTATTTTTTTCCCTGTCGCCTCACCTAAATGACTTCTTGACTCCTCTGGGCTGGTAGCATCTCTGTGTCCTCTGCGACCTTTTGCTATTCATTCACGCTCCAAGCAGTCACAAGTCACCCCCTCCTCATTTGGCAGCCTTTTTGCCTTTTGGCTGTGAGGCTTCTGCCACCTGATTTTCTATAGACAACTAATGAATGAGGCTTTTGAGTTAATGTGTTCCAGGCCAGTGACATTATACTCAGCCTTGCTGTGTGGTCGGAGGCAGCAGATAAAAAAAAAAAAAAAAAAGTGGAAAAGGGACACAGGGGGTCAGCAGAAACACAAAGGTAATCACTTTGACCCTTATTATTGCTTCCTTTGCACCCTTGAGCTCGGCCATCACTTTTTCCCCTCAATCGGAATGCAACGCTTTAAAGTCGGGCCTCATTTTGGATGATTTTAACATCACACACACACAAAAACGCATAAAGCATTGCACAATAATTTCTACTCTGAAGGTCTTGTTGCATGTACACTGGAGAATTGTATAAAATTACATATGAACATTTAATGAGTTGAACGTGAACATATTTCAAAGGTTGAGCAAGTAAAGTGATTTTTCTAATCAGCTTATATTCACAAAATATTATGTCCTTGAGATTGGGGAAACAGTTCATTTTGGATTTGGAATTCTGAAACATCTAGTTTTCATTTTAAATGTATCTTTTGCGATTTATACACACACACACACACACACGCACATTTGGCTGACTTCGATGCAGGCAGTTTAGGCTTAGTGTCGGTGTGAAGATGGATGGACGTATGGATGGATCGGCCTATTCAGTAAATGACCCATCCATCCTTCTATCCATTCTCCATAGTGCTTGAGCTGTGTTGCCGATCTCAGTTGACGTTGGGCATGAGGCGGGTTGCAACCTGGTCCGGCCTCCAGTCGATTGCAGTATTTCATAACGCCATCATATTTATTCATACATTGCTTTTCCACATCTCATGACATTCTTTGTCAGGAGTCAGTTTGAATTAATGTTCCTCACATAGTTCATAAATCAAAATGTGAGCCCTGAAAGTTGCTGATGTAGGAGTGTAGTACACTACAGTATATTCGTACATGAGAAGTATTCCTGCATTTCCCTGAAAAAACTTTGCACCACTTTGGCAACTTGTGATTTACCCCTTGCGTGTAACGTATTGGAATTTATACATCCCAGCTTGTCAGAGCCCGGCCATTTATTTTACGTTCACACATGAAAATCAGAGTAATGAATAAAACATGTTTTGTTTGCGTTGTTTGCGTAGCTGCTTTAACCTTTTCCTCAGACCAAAACTAACAGATCAATGGATGCTGGACCGGACAACCTTGACAAGATTTAAATGTCACTAATATTTGACAAAGAAAGTTTCTGTATGTGCCGGAACTACTCAAAACAGACAAACCATGAATAGACATTTATTTCTCATGCTGATCTTTTCATTGTACTCACATGACTTGGAAAGGGCAGTTGGGTGTGTGGAGAAACTTGAGCTCTTTGATGGAGCGCTGGGGAACCGTGTTAATAGTAGAACGACACCAGCACCTCTCCACCAGACTGATGGGCTTTGCTGTAAACACACCGAACATTTACAAAAAATGTCTTGAAACAAAAGACAATAAGGCACAATTGTTTGGTATGTTCCGAGTAAGGAAAATACACTACATGTATGTTCTTGACAAGATATGATTAAAAACAGTATGCTGCATAGACATTATGCTATGACAAAAAAAATGAATGATGAACAAAATTCACATGCCACCGCTCAGTTACATAACAGAAAATATACCGGTGAATTTTAAGGAATTAATCTGTTGAAAGAGGATGCGATTACATCCCTGACTTCCCTCATTGGATGTGTTAAAACCATGTTTAATCTACTGTCACATTTTTCTAAAGCATGGGAACATACGAGTTCACCTGCTATTGCTCTCCACAACACGTTCATTAAAAAGAGATTATTCCCTTTTTGACCACTTACTCCCCCCCTGCTCCAACCACATTCTAGCTTTTCAGTCAGAACGCATTCAGCTTGACCACTCTCTCACTAAAGGGTCCTCATCTGACAATTTCTAATGTTGCCCTCTTTCATAAAAGAGCCCTCTGCAGCTCACGCAGCCTCAGTGGAAATCACCCTAAGTACATTCTTAAAATGATTACAAATCACCCGTGTGCCACCACCGGCATGGAGGCTCGCGGGGCCCCGTGCGCGATTGCAGATGCAAGCTGATAACGGCAAACATCAAAGTCTGGGAAGCGCATTCCATCATACAGCTTGCGGAATGATCCAAAATGACGGTTCTCATAAGGCTCCACAAAGACACTTTCAGCGATGTATTCTTACATTTGGCGTAGTTCTTAAACGACATACAGCAAACATAAATACAACTTTTTTCCCGGTAAGAAGCACCTATTGAATCTATGACCTTCCATATATTCTTAGTGATGTAATTCGATGTCGAATGTGACACCACAAATGGCAAAGGCCCAGGTAATACCAGCCTAATGACCATTCCCCATTCTAATGCAAACTAGGGGATCATTATGCAGCATGCAGAACTGGCGCCTAAAGCGAGCATCCACTGCTATCACCGGCGCGTTGTTTATCCCTAATTAGAAAGTAATTAAAAGAAAGCACAGAGAGAAGCCAAATGCACACAAGCCTTTAATATGCAACGTGGGAGTGCTAGCGGGGCAGAAGCAACAAGCTTATAAGCGCAGGCCAGGCGGCTCAACAGTCTGACTTGACACCTTGCAAGGAACATAAAATGACACTAAAGTGGGGCCACAGAGTTTATAACATTCACTGTTGTTAGATAACCATTTCTTGTTCCATTTCAAAAAAAAAAAAATCTAAAATACATATTTTTTTATGAAAAAAACAAAAAAATGTTAAAGAAAATAATTGAGATAATTTTTTTGATTGGTGTACAAATTTACCCATTGCTTATATTATTTACAGCATGTGCTTCAATTTATTTTTAACCAATGATCATGTGTTTGTAATAATAATCATGATAATAAGAATAATAATAATAATAATAATAATAATAAAAACAGATTAGAAAAGTATACCAACTGACCATCAAGATGACGTTTCATGAACAAAAACTTTTTACTTTTGAGATTCCTTGATATTTTGAAGGCATGCCAGCAATTTAAAAATAATAATTAAGAGAATAACAAATGCAGTATTATCCAGAAAAAAATGTCAAGACCTCAGCATGCGGACTAACAAAGAAAAGGTCTTCAAAATATAGAAAAGTTAAAATGATGCTCGCCATGAGTTAAGAGTTATTCAGACGTACCAGTACATGTTGGTCCATGTGTGACCACAGCCAACAGAAGCATCAGCGGCAGCAGTTTGAAGTCCATGTTGGTGATCGCTCAAGCTGCTCCGTCTGCTACAGTCCAAGGCACGACTGAGGCCGCCAGCGCTGTGTTGTGTTAAAACCTCACATAAGAGAGAGAGAGTGAGGGGAAGGAGAGAGACCCACTTTCTCAGAAGGGGGAGGGCAGAGGGGGTGTCCCAGCATGGGAGAAGAGGAGGTGAGAGTCAGGCAGGACCAGAAGAAGGAGGAGGGAGCCGCGGCAAGTTAGGAGAGACTTCCTTACTTGTAAAAGGTTGGCAGGGAGTCAAGTAGAAAGTCTGGGTGGGGGATATTCTTTTTCTCCTTTTTTCCTTTTGTTCCATTTGTCAAACTCCTCCGGTTCAGTATGCCCTACTCAAAAAAGTCTATCAAATCAAAATGAGGCTCAAATGCATGACGACAACCTTTACAGAGGAACTTAAGATGACCTTCTGCAACCTTCGGAATGTGTAACATCCAACTGTTCAGTGTTTGCGAACTTTTTTGCACGAAGGCGGGCGTTTGATACATGAGTCGATCAATACATCTCAAACAGCGTCTCCTTCTGTGCCTTTCTGTGACTCTTCCAGTCTTTCTGCATTTTCGTTGCAAGCTGCTGATGTCACCTTCCCTTGGAGAACTTCCTGTTTGAAGCCTTGAAATGACAAGGTCGGGTGGATCAACGTTTTAGGTGTTGTGTTAGTTGATGTCAAAATGTGAATTCCAATTCCCAAGTTTCCGGAATATGTTTTTTTCTGACATTGAAGGACTACGTTATTCTCCGTGCCCTGTTTATAGGTTTTGCCCAAACTATCACAAATCTATATTGTCCTTGTAAGTGGTCCTCCAAAGAACCAAACAGCAATTTAAAGAATGACTTTCTTATTTCATTCATAGAAATAAAGGTAAAGGCAGTATTTTTTTCTAACATTGTGCTTACATTCGGTATAGGTTATGAAGACGGTAATAAAAAAAAAAAAATCCTGCTTCGTGATAGAATACGTGTGTGGTAATGTACTGTGCTTATTAGTTTGTACATTCTTATTTTAGCTGAAAATATCTAACATTGCATTCTGTGTATTTAAGTTTCAGATTTCATTTTCTTGTTTTCTATGTTGGGCATTATTGTGTCAAAGACAAACAGGGGAAGTGGCTCTCCACAGGCATTCTGTTTCATATTGATGAAGAGGCAAACAAAAATCCGAGTGAGTTAGGGTAGCTTTAACCCATTTTATCTGATATCGGATTGTCACATGTCAAATCTTTGGAATCCAAATGAAGAAGTAAGTTTCGATTCCTGCATCTCTTTCTTGAATGAATTGCTTTCTCCTTTTTATCATTTCATGTTTTTATGCACTCAGAATTAACCAATCACATTTCAACGTATGTTTATTGGGCCCTACTTGCCACCATTAATTTTTTTCCCCCTATCTAATCTTGAATCATGTTAATTTCGCCCCTTTCATATTGTAAAGCCTCTTTGAGTCTCCTCACCATCTGCCGCGCACACGTTTGGGTGAGCTCCCTCCTGAGCTTGCTGCTCTTGGACTAACATTGCTGCGTATCAGCTGAGTGGAGCAATTCTCCCTCTCTCTCTCCATCGCTGTCTCGCTCAATGGAAAGTTTGCATGTAACTCATGTTGAAATGCAAATGCTGGAGCTCTGGTTTATTTAAGAGTATAATAATGACCAAAGAGTTAACGAGTGTGCTTGTTGGATTAAAAACAAATGCAAACTGGAAACCATTACGCTTCATTCTTGTGCTCAAGAGTTCTTTATATGAGGCTACTGAGACCCATTGCGTGAAAATACAATGGCCTACCTTTCCATGTTTTTTGTTTTCAGCAGAAACTCAAAGGCCGCCATTATAAATCCTTTATTAACTCTACAGGCGACGTTGAAGTTACCGGTACATGTTTTTCCACTGTTGATCGGCTTAATAACAACACACAAATAACAATAATAACATGCTTAACTTTTATGAGAAATGGTGACGATGTCATCAAGGATGAATTGTATTGCTGAGAGTCATATTTCATTATCACATATGTAAAAAAAAAAAAATGAAGCACTAAAATTCAATGAAAAGTGGTAAGGTGTTGGTCGATGTTGGAGTCTTACTGTTTTTTTAAGTGACTCTGTTTATTTTCACCCTTAGTCTGGTACCTCTTTTTGGTAAAAGCATTGCGACCCCCCCCCCCCCAAAAAAAACGTTTTTGTTGAAATATTAAATAGTTTTCAATTATATATAAACCATTCATATTAAAGCTGGAAGGAAGTGAAAAAAAAACATGTTTACAATACCATACAGACTTTGTAACTGTGTCTGTCTCTACATGTCCGTTAACATGCACATTGTGATGCATCAATGTCATTCCCTGAGACTGAAACCAGTCTCCATGCCAGAACATGACGCCCCTTCGCCACCCCGACCCCCACCCCTCCCCTCAATCCCACCAGCACCACCATGCCCAATAAAGCCATCCAAGCGCTTTAAGGGTGATTGTGGTGGATTCATACACCAAACCTCTTTACAGACCTGTGCTGCTGTTGGTGAAGGAGCAGTGGCGGGTCCTGTTGTAAGTCATAAACATGAGAGGGTGTTTACAGTGAGCCAAAGAGGGGTGCACTAAAACTGCCATCAAGGGCACAGAGATCAAACTGTGCTGCCTGGAGGCAAACTGTAAATGGGTTGACTGGTACTGACTTCTTCTAATGATACAAACAACACATTTTTAGTGTTTTACGGTCCCTGTAAAGAAACTGAAAAACAACACAACATTAAGCCATTAGGACTCCAGGCCTCCATCGCAATACAATAGTTGCTCATTACCTCCGCCAAGGAGGTGTGGGTTTGTCTGTTTATTTGTTTCTTTGCAAGTGGAGTCTAATTGTGCGCATGGATGGGGTTTTCTATGTTTTGGTATTTTGCGCAGAATTTGTCTGCCAAAATCTCGTTACATCACCTGCGGCTCGAGTTACATCTGACTGAACTATGGTCTACTTTTTTGGAAGCAAATTTTCCGGGTTCACTGGTGGTCTTTACCGAGGAAGAATTGGGCGTAACACTCCACATACCACATACGAAAGGATAATCAGTCAAAATCATCGTTAAGACATCAGGCAATCAGGCTTTTGCTGTCTTCAATCAGAGCGGGAGGGGGGAAAAAAAGCTCAACTTCACCCCGAATATCATAATGAGTGTACCTCACTTTATTTGACACCAAGATCAGATAAATGCCCAAATTCTCATTATTGTCAAGCTTATCACCGAAATTCTGAGGCATTCATGCAGTTACCCTTCCAAAAAAAAAAAAAATCACACTTCTCTTAAGCCTGCCCAGCACTAACATGTCACAGCAGTAAACACATTGGTTGGGAATGTGTTTGGCACCTCTCCCTCCGCCACTTGTGTTGCACGTGGGGTCAGAGTTCACTGTTTCATGTACCTGTGTAGGGTTACAGGCAATTGGACTGCCTGGTCTTTGTTCTGGACCCGTCCTGATTGACGAGCTCGCACAATCGGCCGCCTTGATGAAGGATATGATCGAGAGCAGATGACTTTTTGGGCAGGGTGAGTGCTCTGTGTCACCTGTATGGCACTCACTACACTATCTTACGTAAATAAAATGTTAAAAGTGAGGTAATAGCTTGACCTTGGACAGTGATTACACATTACAAGGCTTGTGGATGTTTCTATTTCTCAATGTGTGGTTGTATCTTATTGAACCACTGCGAAGTTCCTAAATATGGCTCTTAGCCCATTAAAAGGCTACAAAGTGATATCTGATCACTTCACAACTTGCGGTTACATCAAAACGTCTGCGGTAGTAAAACAACTATTTATTTTTCCATTTTGTTGGAGCATTATGCAGTTGCCTACCAGGGTTGAAGTATTCTCGCCTTATAAATGAATCCTTAGCGTTAAAATCTTGGTAGAATAAACTAAAGTCCACTAACATAACATATGTTCTGATGAAAAACGAACGCCCTTTTAGCTCAAGATCATACGATACACATACTGCTGACTTTCATCACAACCTTCTTTCATCAGCGTGGATGAAATGGCACTTAGAGCTGCCTCACACAAACAATATTAATTCCCTTCCATGTAAAAATGAACCCAAATAAACACAGACTAATCTTTTCCGTCATCTCACACAACAGCAGATCCCAGCTGTAAAGTTGTGATCTCTGTGAGGAGATTGCTCTGCAGTCTATGGTTTATTGTGTTTGAGTCTGCTGCTGAGTTGTGTTTTCGGGCACATGAAGGCTTTTCCTCCTCTGTGCTAAGACAAACAGTAGTTCACAATCGCACTTGGGGCTGTACAGGGCAAACATAATGTGCCATATAAACACACATTAATCAATGTGGAAATTCTCCTGAGTGTTGTACATCGAAGTTTTTTTTTTGTTTTTTGTTTTTTTGTTTGGTTTTTTTTTTTCACATAAAAGCCAACTGTTGATTAAAAGCTTTGGTCAGTCTCTGCTGGCGAACTGTCAAATTGAAATAATATGTACATGGATTAAATGAAAAACAAATGAGGTACAGAAATCTAATTCTCTCTCTCTCTCTCTCTCTCTCTCTCGCTCTCTCTCTCTCTCTCTCTCTCTCTCTCTCTCTCTCTCTCTCTCTCTCTCTCTCTCTCTCTCTATATATATAGGAGTTTGCATGTTCTCCCCGGGCCTGTGTGGGGTTTCTCTGGGTACTCCGGTTTCCCAGGCGGATTGAACACTCAAAATTGTCCTTAGGTGTTAGTGTGAGTGTCGATGGTTGTTCATCTCTGTGTGCCCTGCAATTGGCCTGCAACCGGTTCAGCCCGAAGAAGGCTGGGATAGGCTCCAGCGCCCCCCGCGACCCTTGTGAGGATAAAGCGGATAGGAAAATGGATGGATGGATGGATATTCATTGCCATTAGGGGGGGCAAGTGGAGTGGCAAGGAATTTGGTTGAGGTGGCAGTGACCACCCCTTGCCACCCTGTAAAACCGCCTATGACAAGACATGACTGTCCATCTAACCCGACAGAGCGAGTGAGGAGAGCACAGCCAAGAGGCCCATGGTCATTTTGGAGTGCAGGAGCTCCAGAAATCCACAGCTCA